AATTGAGAGTCCTACAGTTGAAGGAAATGTGTTCTTACCATGTGGGAATCTTCGATGTGATCTATCAACATCAAGATTAACTTGATTCCAGTACTTGTTTGCCTTGAACTGATTTATTTCATTAGTATCTGAAACAGTTATCATACTCTCAATTAATCAATCTATAAATGTACATAGCTTCAACAATTGTTCATACCTTTCAGCACGGGGGGTGGTAGACCTCTACGTAGATGCTCTTAGACTCAGGCCCCGTCCACACTATGCCGGATGAATTTGAATCCGAATTTTTATTTATTCGGTTAGGCCTACTGCCCACACTAGTCTGGGCGAATCCGGAACAATTCTTCACTGAAAACGAATTTTCAAAATGGAACAGAATAAATAAAAATTCAGATTCAAATTTATCCGGCATAGTGTGGACGGGGCCTCAGTCACTTAACTTTTCCTTCTCCACGAACCTCTGCCCCGGGCCACACATCAACTCAACCCCCCCAATAATAGGGAAGCTATGAATTTTTTTTCTGCGAATGTATAGTCCACTAATCAGAATCAACTACAACAATACACAGCAGTAGATAGAAAGCAGATTATCATAAGATACCTTTTTTGTTTTTAGCGGACATARACACATCAAATACATTAACGTTCAATAGTTTCGGCCACACCCGTCTTCTTAAGTCGTTCGTAATAAGACCATCTTGAGAAATGGCCAGGTTTCCAAGTGTCTGGACATCGACAGGGTCTTCTTCTAACGCCTCGTTGATCTTTCGTATCTTACTACGAAGCCTTGCTTCTGACACTGTTAGAAGATATTAACATAGCACCCGATTATCTCTGATATATAGATTTTGAATTAACTAACCCTGTTTTCCTAAATGCTGAAGACTTTTTTAAGAAGTCGGTGAGAGTCAACGATTGTTGATCGTGATTTTTGAAATGAACTGTTGTAGATCTGTTGACAGTGGTCTTTGGCATCGAGATAAAATAACAGTTTAAAAACAACGTTATACTTACTGTAATACATCATTTGAGCCATTATTCCTTCTTCCTTTTGAAGATGCCTCTTACTTTTTCCTGTAGGATTTCGTCTTTGATAAATATTCATATTCTGTTGAGGACGACTGATGCTATTTCCGTACATCGCCATTCTTGTTTTGATCCGAGAAACGTTAACAAACCTCAAATTACAATGCCTTTTTAAAACCGATTTTCGACTACTACGTACATATTATTAGTCTAACACTATACTTTCTCATCCCTAGCATCTTATTTTCAAAATTTCAATCAAAAAATATCTTACAGCGGCTTTATATTTTGTAAACTGGAAGACATTTTGAATGGTGATGGGTGTTAACTGCTGTACCATAAAATCGCAGGCTCAAAAATCGATAGAAATCTATTTTTTTCTATTTTTGGTTTATGAAAGACACTCTTTACCCAATTTTTTAATCAGAACATTTTATTTTGCGGTTTTGAAGCACAAAAAAATATATGTATTAAACAAAATCGGACTGTGAMTCAATACGTAGTTTTCTTGAGTCTCGTTTTGGTGTTTAGAGTCCTTTGGATTACACAGGCAACCCAAAGTAGGTAAAAAACCTTTAGCTCGACCCGGAAATGAAATACTCTATAACCGGAAGTAAAGATTGTTGTTGCTACTAACTGGCCATGAACTAGTATTGGAGGGAGGCGGGTCACGAATTTTTGATTCTACCACCCTAGAGTGGGTCAGAAAATTTTTACCAATTTAATAGGGTCATAGAGGCATTGAGGGATGACGTAGGGAGGGGAGGGTCAATAATCTTTTTGACCTCTAAATCGAACCCACGGAACATATAAAACGCTAACCAAATTTATAGTACGCTCAACAAAATTACTCGACTCTGATTGGTCGATTTTGTACTTAAAAAACATTAATAAAATTTTAAAGCCGTAAGAACTAATCTTTTTTATGCATTTCAGTTGCGCGATGGACTGAAAATCGGCCGCCAAATAGACAAAGATGATGATGGCGTCGCTTCGCATTTTTACTGAAATTTTGTTGAGTGAACTATAAACAAAAAATCGCACGATCTTCTCGTACAATTTGGAAATTAATAGACACGAGTAATGTTTTGAAAGTTCTTGTAATTGCACGAGCCTTTACTCGAGATCGTGCGATTTCCTATACAAAGTGTAGAAAAGATTCATGTAGAATTTCATGCACACAGAACATTTCATGGGGTCGATAATATTTTTCGATTTCACGTTCCGTCGATTTAAATTTTCTTCCCATCTATCACCCCCTCAGGCTCTTAACCTTATTGATATAAGAAATATTGACAAAATATCAGTTCATATTTAAAGATCAAATGTACTGTTTACTATTATTACACCAGAAATTTTACTGAGGGTATTTTCTGCCTAAAATTTTACAATCAGATTAAATCTAATCTTTGTAAGATTTATTATTTTTTTAATAAAAAATAAAAAAATCAGCTGCTTAGGATTAGAAATAATTAGCAAAACTAGCCTGTAAATGCTTTTTGTATTAAAATTTTTTTACCAATAGAATCCAGGATTAGAGGGATTAGTTCTTGCTATCARTCAATACAACAAATTAAGAAAGCGATGGGACTCAATCAACAGAATTATTGTTGTACGAAATCTTCATAATCCGTAATTGTCAGCCCTTGAAGGTTCGATGATAAGCTCCAAGAATATGATCACATCTAGGACACGAGTGAATGATATCCTTACACGAATGTATACAAAATGGAATTAGACAACAACCAAAAATTATTAAAGATCCAGCCACAATCCACGTGAAACTTCCAGTTCTGTAAGTAATGGCAGTTACTATAGCTTCTTTACAGTTCGAACAACGAGTCGAGACGGGGAACTTTCYGTAGTGAGTTGGTGATGTATTCCTCTCAGAGGCTGGAATAACGTCTGAATTGTGAGAGTATGGAGAATGGAAGATTGAGCTAGGAGGTTGATATCCTGAAGGGAATACCTCAGCTTGTCGTGGCATGTATTTTACGCTTGTTGTGAAGGTAGCTGGTCGTGGATGAGCGGGTTCTAACGATGCTGCTTCTTGTACTGAGTATGAATGGGGCGARCCTTTATGAAAAGCCATTGTGAGAAGGATCTTCTCCTAAAGCTATTTTCCCTTGATTGTATAAATCTGCCGGCCTTGATTCAGACTTACTTCGAGCTGATTAAATGTCTCATRTAAGAGCTTAGGTCTTTCTAGAAAATAGAAGTTTGTGCCAAAATTTAGACCTCCGGTAAGACCCAATTAGATGCCAATTGTAAATTGGATGTCTATGTTTCCAATTAGACGTCTTATTTTTGAAATTTCCTCCGTGACACTYTTGTAGCTGTTTATGGCGTGACAATTTCCGTGACTTTAGTCTTGTATTTTATTTCCGCACGCGTGACATTATCTTAGACATCAATACACTATAAAAGTGCATCGTTGCTTTTGATCGTTTATTGAACCGGTATGAATTTCATTATCAGCATGCAATGCCTTGATGGGAAAAGATGGGTCGAAATATTGAAACCTTAGTYTTTCTGGTCATTTCTTTCTCTCTTGTTTAGGCTTTTCGTGTTGCGTGACGTGATTGCTTTTTGTTAGCGTGACATTAATTACAGTATCACTCCAAATATGGCCAGTTTATATTTAAACTTTTGACAAAGTTAGTTTCGAAGCTTTCATGGCTTTCTTGAGCACCTTAGAGAGGTCATCTTAGAAAGGTCATTTCAAGATAAGGAAAAAAGACTTTGTTGAATCGTAAAAATCGAAGTATTTTCATCGGATTATATCACAAACTCTTCAGCAACTGCCAGTCTGTTGTACATAATGAGATTACCTTTTGCTCAGAACCTTTGGTTTCTTTTCCATAAGCCGCTTACTCAAGCCATGATCACTGGCTCACTTTACGTGTTTGAGCGTGCTAGAACATTGAATAGGATTTATTGACTTTATATGGTAAAGAGTATAAGGGGGTCCTGAGATCAAATAGGATTGTTTTTATCGAGATCGTATTATGATTCAGTAGGGATGATTGAATAAGTAACCACTATAAAACTATAAACAGCTAAAACAATAATGCCACTTTCGCATGTATTTTGTACTCAGATACTTCAGATTTCTRCTAGGTGAACGTAAATTAGTATTCTCAAACTCATTGATAATTCATAAGCTCAACAACGAATCAAGAACATCGTGTTTGGTCAGTGCTGTGTGTAGGTTTCACTTTTG